ACAGGTTCCTTTGCTATTTTCTGCTTTGCAAACGGTGGGAAGGTCTGTTTGGTGATGGCTGTGAATCAGCCCATGTGCCAGTGGGGCTGGTGGAGCAGAGGGGGTGCATTGCTCCGACTTGCTCCTTCCCTCCATCCCAGCTTGGGGCCATGTCACAGAGGGATAGGAATATGTACTCGGATATGGGACACACAAATGTGGGGCTGGCCATGAGAGGTGCTTGTATGGCCTCTCTGTCACCCACCACCACTCCAGGATGTGCCCTCGGCTCAGCCCCACTGGCACACACACTGTGGGACACAGTTGGCATCTCTGCTGGAGAATGAGCATTGGGTGGGTGCTGCCACAGCTCAGTTTCCACCTGCCTTGGCCCCTGCCCCAGGGAAGGAGAGATGTGCATCCCCTTGGGAGCAAAGTGCAAGATGCCTGTGGGACCCCTAAAGCCAACCCTGGGGGGCTCACCCTTCCACCCCCGTCCAGCTGATGGTGGCAGCATCTTTCTGCCCAGCCGTATCCCAGAATGTCTGCAGCTCCTGTGGCCAAGCCTAGCTGGGGGACTGTCCCCATGGCAGTGGGAGGTGACAGCTGGATGTGGAGGACAGCCTCACAGGTGTCTCATGATGCAGCAGAAAAGGCAGTGCCTCGGTGTTCCCTGAATGCTCCTGGCACGGCAGGGACAGACGCCCCATCCAAGGGGTGCTGGTCCTTTGCTGTGCAGCCCTGCTCCCGAGTTTCAGGGCCATGTGCTTATGGTACTTTCTGATGCCCATAAAAAAACCACCCTTCCCCATCCCCAAGGAGACCAACCTCAAATCCACGTGCAATATTTCTGCCTCTTCTGCAGTTCCTGCCCCTGAGGGTGCCCATGTTTTATTGTGTGGGAGTCATGGAGGGTGTCACTTCGCTGCCTCCCATGGAAACTCCTTTTCCTCGATGCTTTGTGGCCAAAATGCAACTCTCTGGGGTAGACCTTTGCAGTGCCTCCAACTTGTTGAATGCTCATCTGCCTGACGAGTCCCTTCCCGGTGCCAGTGGATGTTCCCAATGAATGTGACACTGCTGTAATCGCCTCCACTGACAAATGAAGGACCCCGTGACGTTTGACACAGCTCCCGGGCAAAGCCAAACCTCATTTGCTTTGACACTTTACCCTGAAAAGCTTTCAGTTTTCAGAGGACCTGTCATGAGTTGAGTTCCATCAGTGCTCCCTGGGGAGTCAGCCCTGCCAGGGTGCTCATCATGCTGAGTGTCCCTGAGCAAAGTCTTTTGGCTCCAGGATCCGCCCCTGCTGCTGTGGATTTGGGACCCTGGCTTGGTTGCTTCCAGTCTCCCTTTGGTGAGCACAGGGGGCCCCCAACTCCTCCTGAACACCACCAGAATCTGCAGCATCCCAGTCCTGCTGAAAATAAGGCTTGGAGCATCTTGTGCTTGGGAATGTTGGCCTTAAGCTTCTCGTGCCTCAGTTTCCCCATCAGTGAAATGGCCGGGGTGAGCTGTCCCCCTCTGGAAAGTGGTTCAATGCCTGTGCCCTGGCAAGCATGAGTGCTGGATATAGCTCATGGCTGCGGCCATGAGGGCTTGGCAGGACCCACCAAACATCAGGCACGTGTGGAACACCGGGAGCGGTGCACGAACTGCCAGGGTGGAGTTCACATCAACGAATAATTAAGTCCAGTCTCTGTTTTGCACCTGCCCATGACAAAAAGCAAACGGCCCACAAGCCCTGGTTTGTTTCTGTTTCTGCTCGGGTTCCTGGTGTCTGTCCAAAACAGAGCCCTGGCGATGGGAAGGGGACCCAAAGCACAGCCAGGCAGAGGTGCAGGTCCCGCCCCGGTGACTGCAGCGTGTCCCCCCCTGCTCATTTGTCCCTGTCGGTGTTGCCCCATGAAATGCCATGTCTGTACTTTCTTTTCATTTTTCTGTCCATGTGCTGACTGTTGCTGCTTTGTACCCGTCTTTCCTTGAGCTCTGGGGCTGGGCTGGGCTGAGCTGTTTCCCCCAGGAGCAAGGATGTGGGAGAAGGCTCTGGGGGCAGATTCCCCCCTCCCTCTCCTCACAAACCAGGACCCAAGAGAGAGAGAAGCAAAGGGTTTTTCCTCTGGAGCAGCCTGTTAATTAATGTTATTTATAACGAGATCTTGCAGCCCCCAAGAGCGCTCTCCCCTGGGTTGGTGAAATGGGGTGTTTGATTATGGGGAACCCCAGACCCTGTTTGTGCCAGGTACCAGTTGCATCTCACCCACATGTGCAGAAGCAGGTGCCTGTTGGTGCTCCCTGTGCCATCAGGACACTGCATCCTCGTGGGATGGGGGGGCTGAGGCTGTGGGACCCCCATCTCAGAGCCACTGCTCCTCAGTGGGCAGGGATGCAGGTGACTGGCTGCCCAGGGGGTGGAAAGTTCTTGGGGTCTGGGGACTGGCTTCAAAGCTGGGCCAGGCATGGCATGGGGGCAGCTGAAATCACTGGCAGAGCTGCCCTCTTCCCACGTACTTAGGGTCAGGGGGGATTTGGATGGGATGGGGGGGTGACCCACAGCCAGCTTTCTGTCCCCTATCACCTCCAAAGGAGGAGATTTGGGGCATTTAGTGAGGGCATCAGCCACCCCTCCTTCCCAAGGGCATTGGAGGGGAGGGATCTGGCTGGGGCAGGAATGAGAGCTAGGGACAAAGGAGGGAGCTGATGGCCCTGGTCTCAGTGCACAGTTTGGGGTACAGCAGTTTTGGGGTCTCAGTTGCCGGCCCTGCAGGAAAGCCATCCTTTCCTTCTCTCTCTGCTCCTGTGGCCACCTCTAGGCTGGGTGCCGTGTCCTGTGGGTGGGACCCCAGCCCCACCAGTGGGACCCCTGCCTGGGGGGTGGCTGAGCCCTGGGCTGAGAAGCAGCAGCTCCAGCAAAGAGCCTTGTTTGTGAAGATGAAGCCTGTGTGTGCGTCCGTGCCGGTGTCTCGGCTTGCATGCCCCGCTGCCTTGTCTTGAGATGAATTCAAGAGCAAACCAAGCAAAAGAAACAGTTTAAAAACAAAAAGAAAACAAAACGAAACCCAGGAACTTTGTGACAGTGGAAATAAAAGCTTAATGACAGTAACAAAATGGCTGTGGTTCGTGATGTGCTGGGGTGGAGGGTCATGGCAGCCCCTGGGCACCCAGAAGGGCTGGGAGCTGGGCTGGGGGTACAACCATTCAGTGCCTGGAGCACGGGGCTGTGGTGACACCAGCAGTGAGCAGGGCCAGCGGGTAAACCAGCACAGCTGTAAATAGTGATGCTCTGAGCCCTGTGACCAGGCACTGTGCCCACACCTGTGATGAGCTGGGAGGTCTCAGCTTCAGGCATGTCAGGGGCCCTTCACCTGGGTATCACTTCTCTTTCCACCTCCTTTTACCCAGACACAGGTTTCCCTCTGCCAGGTCCCCTCCTGCCACAGTGTCTGCATCCCTTCTTCCTGTTTCCTTTCCCACACTTGCAGCCGGGTGCCCACTGGTGCCATCCCTGTCTCTTCCTCGTCGAGGCAGCAGGCTGGGAGCTGTCGGGTTGCTTTTGGCACACAGTGGCTGCAGAGGAAGCTGGATGTGAATATCCCATCGTTGTGCCCCATGTCCCAGACCGGAGGTGCCCCTCGGCAGCCCCCCCTGCCACTGGCAGAGCTCCCAGGGGGGCTCCCAGCCTGGACTGGGCTTTTCACGTGTGGTGGGATCCCGTGTGTCATTCTGAGCTGCCAAGTCTTCTGGAAACGAGCACTGCAAGGCCTCCCTGCCAGCCCATCTCTGTTGTGTTTGCTCTCCTAACGAGGCTGACTAATTGTTTTCAGGAGGCCAGAGGGGATGCCCTAATGGTCTGAACAAGGGGGCTGTGTTTGCACAGGGGGTTTTGTCCAGAGGTGCCTTGTGCCAGCCCATGGTGGGGGCAGCCGGGGATTTCTCCCCTGTGCCAGGGAGTGGGCGAGGATGGGCACGGGCTCCAAACCACGGTGCTTGCTCAGAGGCTGTGCCTTAACCCCCAGCAAGGAAAGGGTTAAAGCTCAGCTAGCACAGGTGCTCCTGGGAGTGGGAGCACTGGTGATTGTGGGAAGGGCTGGCTGGGATTAATTTGTTGATGGGGAGAAGCTGTTGGGGTTCCTTTGTGCCAGCAGTGTTGGTGAGAGGTGCTCCCTGCCAGGGTGCAGGAAGGAACTGGGCTGCAGGTTGGTGACTGGGGATGCTCTAAGGTAGGTTTGGTGGCATTGTGGGGTGGGGGACTCCCCCCAAACTTGCAGTGAATGTTTGGGGCTGGGTGTGTGGAGCCTGAGGGAGACAAGGGGCTTTCTGCAAGCCAGGCTACAGCCCTGGCTGTGGGACAGGAGGGGGACAGGCCGCCAGACAGCCCCACGGGGCAGAGGTGCCATCTGCCCTGCTGCAAAAGGGCATCCTTGCCCACCATGAGGCTGGGCTGAGCCCGAGTCTGCAGGGACTCA